AGATAGATAGATAGATAGATAGATAGATAGATAGATAGATAGATAGATAGATAGATAGATAGATAGATAGATAGATATGTATAGTGCACTGAATATTGTAATTAAACTTCATCAATTTGACATGTCTTACCTCAAAGAGTCGCTGATCAGCATCATCAAAAGGTTTTCCATCAAGTCTATTCAGCACCTGAGCAACACCTTTACAAGGAATTAACAAACAGTTGATTTTATATTTTAAAGGAAGCTGTGTATTTACAATGATAAACATATACATAAATAAATTAATGAAGGAGAAATGCCACAAAACAAGAACTCAAAATTCAAAAACCACAAAGCATTATTACTTGCATTATAAATTATAAATGCTATTATACCAACAGCATCTGATACTGGATTACTAATATATTCATCAAAGCTTGAATTCAGCTAAATGAAACAATTCAAAATAGTAGCTTTTCTCCTGCCATGCTGGCTGAATTAGATTTAGCTCTGAGTGTCAGGCTTCATATCATTTTATTGTACAAATATTCTTTGTGTATCTCATTTTCAACATAATAAATTCCATGAGACAGTAAATTATAATTAATTTGAAAGCAGAGCAATCTGTTGCTTGCCAATCTGCTTTTCTTCCTAATCCTCCTTTCACTTGCTGGATCGGTATTTGAAACTTCAGAAACAGGCTTTTATTTTTTTCAAGCAGAATTGTATTTATTTTAATTTATTACTACCATTAATAATTCATACATTAATTACTAAATCAGCCAGCAGTAAAGTTTTGCTACAGTGCTATTGTTTGTGTTCACATCTTTTATACCATTATATATGGACATGGACAATATTAATAAATCTAATTTGCAAATGTACAAAAGAACAGTTACTTATTATTATAGTACTACTGCAGTTAATTAATTGATAGTGAACTATATCGCATCAACACATTAACTCACGTTTTACATTTAAAAAATATTTTTAGTATCTTACCAATTATTTGGTGACTGTTATTCCATATAGGTACACAGAGTACAGATCTTATGTGAAAGCCAGACATCTGATCAACCTAAATAAAAAAAAACCCTTCATCTATTACCATAACACATGATTTAGTCTTAATCCAAAAATGTACAGGTAGCCCTAGACTTAGAATCACAATTGGGAATGCAACATCCATCACTAAGTGAGATGGCTATTAGAAGAGTTGCAGCTGATTTGTTCATGTTAACGAGGGTGCTGCAACAGTTATAAGTGTGAGGATCAGTTGTCATTTTTTTCAGCCCCGTCATAACTTTGAACAATTGCTAAATAAATGATCGCAAGTCGAGGATTACCTGTATCATCATTCCCTCACATATTCGGGGGGGGGGGGAAGTACTAATTTGAAATGATAACACAATTACATCAAAACTAGGCAAAATGATATGTATCTATGATCTTAACTGAACACATCTCAGATGTACTGAAAAGCTTTTCTTCCTGAACTTAGTAATCTTCGCTACTTTTCATCATTTTAAGCAATGATTTATGGTGTGTGGAGTTCAACATGTGATTTTTGCTGTGTTGTAAATGAAGTAGTTGATGGACTCATTACTAACTGATATTATAAATAAGTTTCCAAAATGGTAAAGACATTTCAGAAATAAAATACATAATAATTTTACTTGCAATTCAAGTAGTGCAGGAAAGGAACAGGACCAAAATCTGCTGGCAAATTGCAGTTCTTAGCTTTCTTGTATTTTAAGGAGATGTTATTTTAATAATAAAGACATTTTGTCTTTAATAATCATTTTTTCCTGAAAATTGACTTTGGAGATTAAATATTTAAAAAATCCCATCAAGAATTAATTATTGCTTTTTCTGCCTCATAACAAACAATATTCCTTCTCTAAATAAGTTGACAGCATTTTTATTAATGCACTCTTTAAGGAAATATAAAACAAAAATTAATCAGCTGCATTACATATTAATCGAAAGAGCATATGTGAAATTGTAACTCTACATTCAGTAAGAATATTATATGCTTTATTTCAGCATGCCTGTTGGCAGGAAGTATTGCCTAGGCATTAATGACACTTTTTCAACGGCTGAATTAATTACCTCCAGCAGTTTTCTCTGTAAAATGGCTCTGAGCATTTATATTTCAAATATAATTTTAAAAAATCTATTATGAAGGCTTTTAGAGATATTTCTTGACAGACTTACTATAAACAGAAGACTTTGTAAAAATGTCACCCCATGCTCAATACTCAATTGGGTGGATAAATCAACAATGCTGCAACATAAGATTGCGGACCAAGCTTGTTGATCAAGCTAAGGTACATGGACCTTGGTTAAACCTATCCCTGCATCTTTGCTGCACTATCAGACTGATGCAAAATGCTGGAATTTTTTTCCAGCTATGGAATGGGAAAGTAATATCTTCTGCAGGGAAACCAGGAATCAATCAAATTCATCCACTTACTTAAGTTTCTATATCTCCAGCACACAAGACTGTGCATAGTGCATACTACACCTGAATTTAAGAAAGCAATTGTATTAGTACTGTTTGCACTTACTCCTAGCGTCACTCTTTGGAGCATCTCTCACCTACAACAGTCAAACCCAGAATGGCTTTCTCAGTCCCCTCTGTGCTCCTAAGGGCTACTACTTCACACCAAAGCTCAGTCTCTCACATCATCCATTACAAATCCCTAGCAATGTATAGGCTCAAGCTGCAAAATTCAAAGTGAATTTTGAATTGCAGTAGGGGAAACAATTCCAATTGGAAGAAGCAAAACAAAATTCTGACTCTTCACAGGCCATCCAGAAGACTGCTTTAAAAATAAAAAAGACACATTGTATACCGTACTTGAAATAAACATTGCAAAGAGGCATGTTTTGTTTTGAGCACAATTGTTTTTCACGCTGCTGGCTCCTGTAAATCAATCTCTGGGCCACTTTTTTTTTTTTTTTGAGCACTTGAGAAAAAGTTGGACATGTTAGTAAAAAGAAAATGGACCAGGAATAACAAAAAGAGTAGAATTAAAAAAAGTAACTCTTGATCAAAACTGTGAATGAACATTAGATAAATCTTAAAATGTAATTCTATAGTAAGCAGTTGAATTTGAGGTACTATAAAGACTTGTAAAACAATATCACAAGGCACAATATTTATATTATAAAGCAGACACAAGAAAAAAACAAGACTTTGCATAATTGCAAATAATGATAGAATTATTACATTGTATTTCATATGAAAACATCATCATTTTTAAACCAAAATGGTGTGTTTTCAGAATGCCAGATTCAATCTTCCACTTTAATTTTACTATTTAATTGTTTGATTATCACTCATACAAATGCTGAAGCAGACTACAGCAGCACAGGTTCTAAAGATAACTGCCACCACTACTATACAGGTGGTCTTTGACTTACAACAGTTCATTTAGTGACCATTCAAAGTTATAACATCACTGAAGAAAGTGACTTATGACCGTTTTTCACACTTCTGCTGTAGCATCCCCATGGTCACATGATTTACATCCGGATGCTTGACAACTGACTCACATTTGCAACCTTCTGACAAGCAAAGTCAATGTGGAAACCTGATTCACTTAACAACTGTTGTGATTCACTTAACAAATGTGGCAAGAAAAGTCATAAAAATGGGGTAAGACTCTCTTAAGAAAACATAAAATTTGGATTCAATTGTAGTTGTAAGTTGAGGACTACCTGTACTGAAATCAGATAACACAAGACGAGTCTATTTTTTTTTTACTTGCAACAAACATTATAGGAAGATATAGATAGATAGATAGATAGATAGATAGATAGATAGATAGATAGATAGATAGATAGATAGATAGATAGATAGATAGATATGTATAGTGCACTGAATATTGTAATTAAACTTCATCAATTTGACATGTCTTACCTCAAAGAGTCGCTGATCAGCATCATCAAAAGGTTTTCCATCAAGTCNCCATCCAGAAGACTGCTTTAAAAATAAAAAAGACACATTGTATTCCGTACTTGAAATAAACGTTGCAAAGAGGCATGTTTTGTTCTGAGCACAATCACTTTTGCTCTCTTAGCTTTGAACTGCTGTAAATTGTCACCTAATTCTGCGCCAGGCTCCCACCCACAAAAACACTCAAACTAAACTATTTTAGGGCTCTTAGAATAAAGTAAAGGGATTAAGAATGCCATTAAGTGTAGGAAATATTGGTACTTGCGGCATCTACTGTCAATTGTGATCTGATATTTCCAGAAAGTACTGAAGGCTAAGAAACTGTGTAATGGAGCAAAACTTTAACAGACTGATTTGAATGAACCAGGTAATTATTTCGATACAAAGATCCAATGCTTATTCTAAAAAATGACTAAATCAGAGAAAAGAAGGCGTTCAGAAGGTAAACCTGCAAAAGTATTGTGGATGGGAGGGATGCCAAAGGGTCAAGAGGCAATAATGACCATGCAATTGAAGCCCCATCCCATGTAATATGTGTGGAAGTTCAATACATGTGCAGAAGAGATGTGGCTTCAAACATGTGGTCATAGGCACCGTCTTGACTTGACCATGAGGATATTTCTATAAAACTTGTAATTTCTTCCAGGTCTGTGATCAGATCATAAAAGGTACATTATATTCAGCTATCCAAAATTTTGAGTATCAAAAGAATATGGAATGGGATATTTAGATGTCAAAAATGTCTTACTTCTGCATCAAAGCGAGGATCTTGATAAGCATCACTGTTGTTTACTGGAAGGCCAGTGGAAGCTACAAGTTCAGCAATGCTATTATTTACTAGCCAGTCTGAATAAGATGCTGATGGTTTCTCCAGATTGTCTCTGAAACTGTTAAAAAGAGCAAGGGAAGAAAGAATGTAGTCACTATTGGTTCAAGATCCACTTTAATATACAGAAACCATCATCTTGTTTCAGAGTAACCTTTAAAATTTCAAAGCAGCTTAATTGTATTTAGATAATTTAAAAAATGGGCAGATAGCTTGTATTCATTTGCTCTCGGTATTTATATCTGTACACAACTGGGGGAAATGGTTAGAGTGGCACAGAAAAATGATTTGAGTTTTCCTTTAGTTATGCCTTTTACTCCATTTTGTAGCACATTGTCTTCTTCTATATGTCTTATTGGCTAATCAATAAATAATAATAATTACAACAACCCAGCTCTTGGAAAGAACTCATTGCATATGAAGGCCAACACCAGCTAAAGAACCAGCAGCAATGACTTCACATTATTGTGAATAAATAATGGGATTTCCAAATACAGGAATTAAGGCGAATAGACGTATCCCAGGATAACATTGCAGGATTCAATCTAGGTCAGTCACCAGGACCAGAGGTTTAGTCTTCCGAACTTTCAGACTCATGCCAGAGCATCCTCAGGGAACTTCTCTCTAGCAGAGTGTGTATTTGGGCTATTCTGTGTGGTATTTATATGGTGCCTGTTGTGTGTGGCTTTTTACATGTTGATTGGTGTGCTGATGCTGGCTTATTAAGGCTGTTGTTTCCTTTTGTTGCCAAGCCCTTGCTTCCCAAGTACTTGATAAGCTGGTGGTAAATCAGCACTCCTGTTGACTGAGGAGGGGCCTGTTTCCCAGGATTCAATCATGTCCCTTGGCTGTTTTTGTGCCTGTTTATCCAACAATCTTTGTAGCTGCAAAATTGAATGTATATCCTTGTCCACTGCAATGCGAGAGAGCAGATACAATATTCTGCCTCTATAACTCATTCCCTCGAATCAGTTACATATCTCAAGAAAGCTTGAAGTAAAATTCTTAAATGTTGGTTATGTTTTAAGATTTATTTCATCTCTCTCACACTTCTATTGCTCTTAAAAAGCCTAGTTTTCTAGAGTCCAGAGGTATCTGTTTTCTGCCTGCCACTTATTTCATCTTGGAGCTCATATTTCTTCCAGACTAGAAATAAACCTTTGAATGATTTACATGAAACATTTGTATTTGGTAAACACACCTCCCCAGCAATGTTGATTAGTCACCATCAAGGGAAGAAACTGTCCATTCCAAAAGCAATCTGTCCTTTGTCGGGTGGGGGAAGGCACTTACAATTTGTTTTTGTTTTTTTCTGAAGAAAGGACTCAATGGAGAAGAGCCTAATACTGGGAAAGATTGAGGGCAAGAGAAGAAGGAGACGACAGAGAATGAGGTGGCTGGATGGAGTCACCGAAGCAGTGGATGTGAGCTTGGACTCCGGGATATGATAGAGGACAGGAAGGCCTGGAGGAACTTTATCCATGGAGTCGCGATGGGTCGAACATGACTTCAAAACTAATAACAACAACAAATCCTTTATTTCTCTTTTTGCTATTATTTACCCTTGGCTAAATATAATGCCATCGGGGGTGTCCTTAGTCCTGACTCAAAATATGTTGTATCCTGATAATTTGATTTCTTGGAACCAGCTAATAAAGGTTTACTTTGCCTTATCTCCCCTTTATTCTTGATTTCTTTAAATTATTTTCTGTCTTGGTATCACCTTTTTCTTTATCTCGTTGAAAAGCAGTACTGATCTCATAGTTCCACAGAGGCAAGGATTGTTGTTGGAACACATATACATTTATTCTAATATTAGTTTATATTTCTTTCCTATTCTCATATTGTCTATTTGTTGTTTTATTACAAAATATTAACACAGAACTGACTGATGAAGGGTCTTTTTTTTCTCTTTCCCCCTGGTAAAACTAATATTCTTTTTACAATCCTTCATTTTTATTTAAATCAATTATAACTCTAGAACTTACTAAGAAAAGGAATTTGTCTCCATATTTATCATGCTGCAGTAGTGAGATCTGCAAAGATCAAGTACACTTTTACAATAATGCAGCATATGTTGAGTTGAAAGGTAGGATGGCAGAGAGGTATAAATTTACAGGCAAGAGCAAGCCAGGACCTCATTTTCGAGCCTTGTCTGATAATGAAATTCATAGAATTTCATACAGCTGTATTTCACAACAGCAAGATTTGACTGGCAGACTAGAAGGAGCAAATCCAACTATAAACTGAGGATCTATGAAACCAAGGCCAATTTCTAGTCAGACTTGCTGGATCTGAGATGTTTTCTTTATGGACTTTGACTTTTCCTTTAAATGCCCCATCAATAAACTCAAGATCATAAACTAAATTGTATCCCTTGTTTTTCAAATAAAGAACTCAGAAATCCATACCTGAATAAAATATTAGGGAAAACAAAACCTAGTCTCAACAATAATATAAAAGATTCATTTCCAGTTTTCTCTAGGCATCTCTTCTCTCTATCCTGAATTATTCCTCACAATCTCTAAACAAAGGAAAGAATAACTAAGAACAAAATATATTATGTTCTATATATATGTTCCATTTTATAGACCGTGTAAAAGAGGACTCCAAATTTGTCCCCCCCCCCAAAAAAAATTATTTTCATGGTTGATTGCTCTACATAACACACTCAAGGATTACTGCATATTACTAAAGAAATGTAGAAATAACATGAATGGCAAATGTTTCCTCTGCAAACTATACAAGAAAGATCACAATAACCAAATTTAGAAGACATCAGAATCCCTAATAAATCTAGCTAGAATTCAGCTGGGATCTCTGTTGGAGAAAAAGCTAAGGAAAACATAAAGAGCCACATGGAATAAAGGGTGACTAGGGGAGAAATTACATGGTCAAGGCAAATTTTTCATTTTCAACCAGAGATGGGTTGCTCCCAGTTCGGCCCAGTTCAGCCGAACCGTAGAACAGTATCTATATCAAATTTATTTCTGGACTTTTATTTCTACATAAAAGTTAGAACAAAATGTATATGCTAAAAGTTATTGGGAATTATATAAGTCAAGCATCATATTACAACAATATCAAAAATTCCCAAGTTTCAATGAACCTCTAGATCTACATCTTTTATTTTATGCTAAACATGCCTTTATTTCTTCCCACTGCTTTCCCTGCAATATGTTCTGCACGAGATAAAGAGACCTTATATAATAACATGGCCAACTAAGTATTTTAAGTATTAAAAACCTGCCTTTATTTTTTAAAGAGGTTATTTAATTAGTACCCATCTTGTCATTAAGATACGCTATTTAAGCTGCAGGGGTGGGGTGGCGGGAGAGAAGAAACAGCCCAAAGTTTTAAACAATCATGAAAATGTTTGTATAGCTAAATAATATGTTCACTGCTAAAAATAAAATAGAAATAACCCAAAAATGCCCGAAAGTTGGCTGGAAGGAAGAAGACTGTATCACTCTTCAATAATCACATCAATCAACCTATCAATACAGCAAAAGCTAAGTAACGTGAATGTGGTTAATAAACTGGATGAAGTCCATATGGAATGCCCTTGGCAGAAGGAGACTTAATCAAATCTTTTAGCCTGCTAATTATGCTAAAATAACATTCCATATAATCATGTCACAGTTTTGCAACTGTTTCCCACATAACAGAGATGCAACCAATTATACCATCTGAGGAAGAATAATATTTTCTCTTCTACAACATATTGAGCTTAAGGGCATAAAAATATATAATACTTTTACAACAGTAGAACAAAAATTAAAGCAAAGTATAACAGATGGGTGTAACAAATGAAAAATTGTGCAAATAATTAATTAAATAAAAGGACCTCTTATTTGGATTTCTAGAATGAAGGTGAACTTGAAAGAGCTTTTCACAGACAGAATTTTGTCCTATAATCTAGGTTTATTCCTAAAAAGAAGATTAATTATAAAAGAATAAAATCTAACCTATTTTCTGAATCAGCAATGCACTTTGGAGACATCAATTCAAAGGACTTGGTAAATTTTACTTCCTGTCAAGGTAAAACACGTGTAAATGTCATACATTGCAAATTTATTATACAACATTAGAAAAATACATAATCATGTTATAAAAATTAAATACGTGCCCAATTTGTACCCAAAGCATAAAACATTCTTTTAATGCTATCTACATAATAAAGAATTAACTGAATCTTTATAAACTGTGAAATTATTACTAATCTGGCCTAGGAAACAGGAGACCATGAGTCTAGTCCTGGATTTGGCAAAAAAGTCAGGTGGGTGACTGAGTCAATCTCTCAGCAAAACCCTCCTCAGGAATATTATATACATCTGCCACCTTGAGTTACTTATAAAGTAATAAAGGTGGGATAAAACTGTAATGAATAGAATAGAATATTCCAAAGTATGATTTCAAGATCACCAATTTATTTTTAAGTATTGTTTTTGTTACTTGAGGACCTCCAAATAATGTGAAAAGTGAAATATTTTATAGTTTGGAGTAGTGACTGAACATTTATGGCTGCATGGGGCTGCCTTGAAGACCACATAGAAGCTTTAAACAGCTAAGGAAGCACAGTTATGGGCATGTCTCAATATGTCTATGTGACATGTCTTTGTCTTTGCAAGCTGTATTGGTTACCAGTTTGCTTTTGCATGCAATCAAAGTGCTGGTTATAACTTATAAAGCCTTAAACTGCATAGGGCCTATTTATTAGAGGGGCCACCTACTGTATGTCCCATGGTATCTGCATGGCCAATTTGAACTGACAATATTAGTGCATTTCAGGTTCTTTCAATTAAACAAAGTCATCTATCAGGACCCAAGAAACACAATTTCTCTATCACAGGGCCTGCTACCTGGAATGAAAATGTAGGATCCAATCTGGGTTGGTCACCGGACCAGAGGCTTAGTCTTCTGAGCTTTTGGACTTATGCTGGAACTCATCTTCAGGGAACTTCTCTCTCACCAGAATATGTACACCGACCCTGATTGGATCCTACAACATTATCCTGAGGTACATATATTTGCCTTCATTTGTGGAATGAAATTCCTTCAGATCTGAATGTCTCCTACCCTGTAGGCTTGCCGAAGGCCTATAAAGGCCTGGCTTTTCTCCCAGGCCTTGGGCTAGAGTGGCTGGTGTACCATTTGAAGGGTGTTAGTTACTGGTGGAATGTTTGGGGGTTTGCTGTTTTGGTCTTCTTTCTTGGTTTCTATTAAATTGTTTTTATATTGTTTAGTGTAGTGTGGAGCCAAATATATAAATAAATTGGAGTCGGAGCCCAAATGTTAGACTATCAGTGTATCAAATTCAATATTGTTTAAACTAATCTAAAGTAGTTCTTAAGGTACCAATCAGAAAATTATTCAGATATGCTAGGAATTGTAATCTGCAATGCTATGTACATCGTGACATTGAACTATGACTACACTGACCATATTTGCTGGCAAAAAAAATAAAGGACAACCCTGTAAAAGAAGCAAATCTGAAAGAGGTTCATAAGGATTAAAACAAAATTATTTATAACAAAGGAAAGCTCAAGAGCAAAAAAATAAATAAATCTAAAGGACGGCTTTCTGAAATAAAGGAGTATACTTTATAATGCAGAGTGTATGGTCAGTCTAAATATGACCCTTTCCAAAAGTTCAGTAAAACAAAGGTTGTCTATTAATTTCAGTGGATTATATATTCAAAGGTCAAGAATTGAATGCTGTGATGGTAAACCTATGGTACACGTGCCACAGCTAGCACATAGAACTCTCTCTGCGAGCACCCCAGTTGTCACCCCAGCCCAGCTCCATCGCGCATGCAAGCGTGCCTCCCACTGGCCTGGTGGTCTTTGGGTGTCTGCAACACATGCAGGAGGACAGAGTGCAAGCGGGGGGCACATACATGCATGGGGGGCACTCACATTGCATTTTGGGGCCTCATGCCTCCTCCCGCATCCGGTTTTGGCCCTGGAAGGCTTCCTGCACCAACCTGGAAGCCGAGCACCCCCACATGCTGTTTTGGGCCTGGAAAGCCTCCTGCACCAACCTGGAAGCCAAAAATGGGCGAGGGGGGCGGGGCACATGTGCACAGGGAAGCATGTGTATGCGTGGGGGCAGAGTGCACATGGGGCACATGCATGCACAGGACATGCAGGTGCATACACATTGTATTATGTTTGTGGGTTTGCACGCTTTCAGCACGTGATGACACTAAGATTAGCCATACTGATCTAATGGATTGAATAATATGCCTTTAAAAATATTTTTAAAAACATAGGTTTTAACAAACATACCACCATGTGTATGATCAGAAGCTAATTTTTTTTCTCTAATTTAACACTGCAGAAGAGCTGCAAATGTCCAGTCATTCCTCTGCTGAACTTAGCATCCTCCTCGTTTTAAAGGTGAGTGGACAGAACAAAAATGATTGCTTGGTAGGTTAAGTGAAATCACCCCCAAAACCTAGACTGTATAATAGAAAATGAGCAACGCTTCATTCCATTTCTACTTCTGCTGAATTTATTTATTTATATGTTTATTTGTTTGTTTATATTTCATATTTCTTAATAGCAATAGCACTTAGACTTATATACCACTTCACAGTGCTTTATAGCCCTCTCTAAGCTGTTTACAGAGTCAGAATATTGCCCCCAACAATCCGAGTCCTCATTTTACCAACCTTAGAAGGATGAAAGGCTGAGTCAACCTTGTGCCTTGTGATATTTGATCTGCCAAATTGAAGGCAGTCGGTAGTCAGCAGAAGTAGCATGCAACATTGCATTCTAACCACCGTAAAAGAATCCCATTCCAGACTTTTCTCTCAGCAAAATCTGGTATTTTGAATATCCAAATTGTTCACAATTGTTCCACCTTACTAGCTAACTGTTTTCAGCTTAGTCAGCCAAAAACCTAGTACCGTACAAATTTTAAGTACATGCCCGAATAAATAAATACAAACATCATGACGCTTACATAAAATTTTCAAAATGTGAAATATCTACTTACTGGTGATTCAATGTCATCAAGAAGCAATACCAAGCAACGCTCACACTTGAGTAGATTCTGGGCGCGATGCATAATTTTTTTCACAATTTTCTCCAAGTCTGTCTGTTCTTCAAAGAGATCATTAACCACCTCCAGCAAGGCCTTCATACATGGGATGGAAATCGATCACAATTGGTTTCCAAAAGTAATGAATAAATGATTGCGTAATATTTCAAAAAAGAGCTGTAAAAAGAACCAGTTACTAACACTCTAGGATACTGGTTACTTGTAAATTAAACTTAGATGCACAGTCATTCCATAGGACATCTACATATGGAATGTTCTCAATTTAGTTTCCCTGTAAGAGACTTGAATATATTTCAACTATTTTTTAAACTATTTCTGACTAGGGAATGTCCTAGGGAATATTAGCTTTCTGTAACAACTAGCAAAAATATTTTGACATATCATAATGACCCTCAGAAAATGATAATAAAAACGATCATCTAGTCACATGTTAAGAATAATCAAGCAAGCTTGATACAAACCTGTGTGACCTGGTGCTGAACATGAGATCATTATTTTTTCTTTCATGACATTTTGAAAGTAGAGGTACAAAGCGTTAATTAATCTCACAGCTACTTCGCTTCAGATTGTGGTATCTAATTTATGTGTTTCACAGGGCAAATTATAACATAACAGATTAATTCTCAGTGGCAGTCTACCAAATTTTTGAGATAAAGTAGATATTAAGTGAACTTGAAAACTATTAGTAAAGAATGAGAAAAAAAAGCCCAGAATAGCTTTTTCTCAATGTTTCAAAGTAATTATGTGGAAAAGAAAAAAGAATATTTTCTCATACGGAATTATAGCTTTGATAATTATGGTAGTGAAGCTGAATAGATTTCAGGCAAACCAATACCATGCATTTTACATGGGATTTATTTCAGTTAAGAGTGCTGTAGAAAATAAGGAGTATGCAAACATGACACAGTGTGAATACAGAACAGTGTACTGATGCCGATTTCTGCTCTTATTCATACTGCACTAATTAAGGCAGAAGTGGGCAATCACCAGCTGAAGAACAGCAGAGCGTTTTTACAGAAAGATGCTAAAAGTGCTAGGAGTGGCAGAGGAACATTTTCTTTTAAAAAAGAAAATCCTTTGGTAGTACTTTCAAGGGTAGGATTAGGCCCAGAACTGCCGACTACAATATGAAAGGGAAAAAATGGTGAACTAATACAAACGCAAGTGACTGGACAGATGGATCTATTTTTAGGATTCATGCTCTGCACTTAATACATATGGAGGGATTGAGGGCTGCAAAAAGGGTGAGACATGTCACACAAGAGGACAGGCAAGGGAAATTTCTGGATGCTCCTTTTTTTAAAAAAATGTGATCTCATTATTATAGGACACAGTGTTTCTCAACCTTGGCAACTTGAAGATGTCCGGACTTC